GTCCTGTTCATCGTAAAGTATTTCATACTGTTTGACCCGCACATTGGTTTTTGCTCTTATTTATGCAAAAATGTTGCAGTATGTGCTACTGACTTTTTCAGATTTGAGCATTCATGTCTTGACCTCTTATCATCCGTGTATTCCCCCCATATATTTTCCCACACCTTGCTGATCTATTAAATTGCTTAGTTTTTGACTTTTCCCGTTTTTATTCGTGCAGAGATTCGAAGATGAACATGTTCCGAATAATACGTGCTTTGTTGAGATGTTCATTAAACTCTTCCACTTATCCGACTTCTTTTCCAGGTCCATTTGCGGCGTTCTGCCGTGTTCGTGGTGTATTCCCATTACGTCACATGGATCCTCTGCCTGCCGCGATGCCTATCGCAGCCGCGTCGCGTAACGCACCGACGGCCGCTCAACAGTTGGCCTATGCGGCGGCCACCGGACCAGCGAATGGATCGCAAACGTTGGCCGCTGCACCATATATCCCCCTTGAACTGATGATGTATCATCATCACCATCATCATCATCCCGGTGCTGGCACTGGTCTCGTTCTGCCACAAGCTCCTGTACCGCCTTGTCTTCTCAGTGCTCAGGTGAGCCTGGTCGGTTTCTTTAACCTCATTACACTTGTTTGGAGTTTTCTCTTGCTTTTTTTATTGTCTATTGACATTTTCATTCAAATGATTTCCCTTTCTTGGACTGTACAGCTCAGCATAGAGGAAAGGGATACAATTGTAGCCCCGGATCAGAGCACATACCCACATCTCAATGTTGAACCCGACCACTGACCAACTAGCTTTGCTACAAATTGCATCAATGATAGCTTCATCGCTGCGACAGTGCTTTGATTGTCGCAGCGTGCTCTGATCGGTCAAGTTGGAAGTGGGCCCAAGATCCAGTTGCTGTTTTCACGCTTTCATCTGACTGTTGGGCAGAGTAATGCTTTCCAAATATTGGTGACTGTTCTTTCTTCAAAGGCTAACTCTCTTATGAAACCTTGTGCTCTCAAAACAATGAAGATAAAGGCATATTTAAGTATGGCATGGCGCAATTCAACGACGACGGGGGGGGTAGCATTTTGCACTTTTGCTAACCTATTTCATGGGCGTACATGAGCTGGCAGGTTCTACCATGGACTCGACGGGTGGCTTGCTTCAGCTTCGCAAGAGTTTACGTTTTCCACT